GCTTAAACAAATTTATGAAGTTGCAATGTCATGTATCCCAATGAAAAGGGCTTTGTTCAAACAATGTTTAAACAATTTAAATAAATAAAACTAAACTATCCGAACATCATTGTGTCAAATACTATGGGCTAAGAGCAAATCCAAAAGTTGGTTCAAGAAATATAGGTAAAAGTTTAGTTTAACTTCATGCAAATAAGCTGTGACGTACCGGAACCGGAAGTACCATTTTTTTCCTTTTTTTTTTTTTTTTTTTCATGTTGTTTCTCGTCTCGCTCCGCGCCAGCACGAAGGCTCGGGCATTTTACACTAAAAATGGAGTATAAACTGATCATGGCAGTGTCCGGCTTCCCGAGTCTCTACGACACAAACTCTCTGACCTACCGGGACCTGACCATGAGGAGCGACGCGTGGCGGCAGGTCGCAGAGATCGTCGGGGTCCCCGGTGAGTGCTTCAAGTTCTCCGCCGTCAGCAACAGCCACAGCGGCGCCGCTAACCCGCCGTGATGCCCGTGTGTGTCTGTCCAGCCGACACACACCGAGCAGCTTTACTGTGGATGCGAAGAAAGGCTCCATAAAAGCGCGTTTTGATCTGATTTACATCAAAGAAAAAGATCAAAACAATACGTGTCCGTCTCTTATTATGCTCCGATGGTCTGTGGCTTTTAGTGCCCGTTGGTTCCTCTTGAAGATGTAAATCTTTTAAGACACACCACAAACATATGGTTTCATTTCATGAGAGGGTTTAGTGTTTTAATAATACAGCTGAAGGTAGTATTTTGTAGTAAAAGTCACCTAAACAAGAAGAACTAGTGCGTTGGTTTCAGCTACCAAATCAGAACCACAGGTGTTGACCAACAGTATCAGTGATTTCCCCTGTGTTACCTCAGTGTGCTTTTTGGACTAAAATCTAAATAAAAGCAAAGATAATACATGCTTTATGTATAAATATCTAATCCATACTTGTTCACTGAAAAAAATTCAGGCCTCCATAAAAATGTCGACAAAGTTATTCTCCCTATAGACAACAACAACTCACAAGTTTTTACTCAAAGTTTAGCAAATAATCCTGAAGTGTGTCACAAACTGTAGATTTTTATTTTTTTTAACTATTATGTATTTAAATTGTCAGCAACCATCACTGACAGTCGTTGTATTTATTTACTATTTTTAAGACTTTTACTCTGAAAGTGGCCACTCTGTAATTATATTTTTTATTGACCCACGGATATAACAAAAGCTATATGGGCTGCACTTATAAAGCGCTTTTATCCAAAGCGCTTTACAATGTGTTTCTCATTCACCCATTCACACACATTCATACACCAATGGTGACAGAGCTGCCATGCAAGGTGCTGCCTGCTATTAGGGGCAACTTCGGGTTCAGTGTCTTGCCCAAGGACACTTCGGCTGTGGAGGGGCCGGGGATCAAACCTTGTGATTGGAGGACAACCTGCTCTCAGGAGACAAGTACTTTGCCTCTCATCCTTCTCACATTATGCAGAATACAAGAATCAGCTGTCATCATCCGTTCAGTTTAATGTTATTGTTCCCTTGAAAGGAAATTCTTTGTTAAAATAGACAAAGAGTTTAGAGCTGCAACTATTTTGAGTAACAGCTGCTCTTCTGATTTGTGCCTCAGTGAATCAGTTGCCTGTCAAACCTTTGCAGAGCTGATGGTGATTTCTTTAAATGCCTAGTTTTGTCCAAAAATCACCAAATATTCAGTTTACACAGATATGTGACAGGCTCCAGGCAGCACATCTTCCACTTTGAGATGTTTAAATCAGATAATATTTCCAGTTTTTGCTTAAAATGAGAATCACATATCATCAACATCACAGGTCTTAGTTTTTTTATTTTTTTTAAATAAAACCAGAAATCCTTGTTTGTTTTCTGTTTAAGTCATTAGTAATGTATACGTTTTTGACAATGTGCTTGGTAGCTCTGTATTTTCTCCATAACTGATTGAAGTCGTACGATTCTCTGAATGTTGCACCTCTTTTCATGTTCTCAAAACATAAAAGGATATCTGTGCTACTTTTTATTTTATTTTTTTTGCAGTATGACCAATAGAAATAAATAAAAGCTGAATAAATGCAATGCTTAGTTTTAGTTTTACTGCTTAAAATAGAAAAAATAAACTACAGTGTGATTGTTCTTTGAACAAAGGAACATGTCAGCCTGTATGACAGCGTGGCTCACTGATGGGTTCATAACGGAGCTCTAAGGTACAAAGGAACAAGATACACAAGACTCTGAACACAGTCGAATCACTTCAATGTGGAATTAGCTTTTTGTTAATGTGATAAATAACATCAGACTGTTCTGTCCTTCACCAGAGTCAGAGTGCAGACGGAAGTGGAAGACGCTGAGAGACCAACACAGGAGGGAAAGGCAGCGTGAGAAGGAGAGACGAGAGAGTGGAATTGGGCTCTTCAACTACAGGCCGTGGAGATACTCGTCCATTTTGTCATTTTTAAACCCATTTATTGATGCCAGGGCTGCAGGCACCAACGGGTGGGCTCTGGACCCGCAGTCCTCTCAGATTCAGATGTCTGAAATGGTGGGCTGCAGTACGACCACCGAGACACGGAGCGACGATGACGAAACTTACGGTGTGTAACTAACGATGCAGAACGGCTGATAAAAACAAAATCAGTAGTTATTTTAGTCTGGCATGAGTCCAAAAGATTTAGACCTGATTCAGAGCTGTGAGCAGCAGAGAAACAGGGCTGCAGTCAACCAGAGAAAATCTCAGTAGACTTAGAGCTGACCTACTCTTCAACCAGTGGGTCGGTCACAGGGAAACAAAAACGTTATCCGTAGATGAGCTGGATGGGCGATACCTGAGCTTACCTGCTAGCCATGTGGCCCTAAATGAATTAGACATAAACATAAAAAGCTGGTATTTGTACAGACTTGGCGTAGACCAGCGTGAATCTGCCCCATATTCATACGATATTCAGAACAATATAAACTCAGGATCACATCACAAGAACTGTTGAGGAGTTTAACCTCCCGTTTTTAGATGATATGCTGCCACTGCTGTTGAATTGTCATAAGTTTGCACTTAAACGTTTGGCCGTTCGTTTTAACTAAATGCAGCCACATTGATGACTTCTGCAAGTTAGATGTAGCAGTCTCTCTTAGGTTGATGGAGTTCAAAGTTGTGAAGACACAGCGGTGTTTAGAGGTAGTTCCTGTTGCCAAAAATAACAGATTCATCCAGGAAGTCTATTGATGTGGCACTTTCCTACTTACAAAGATAGAAAAAGGTGCTGTTGTTCAGTTTTAATTTTTTTTTGACTAAAAAAAGGAAACTGTTGGTCATACTTCTTGTTTTCAAAATATTTTTGTTGTTAAAAATAAGTTGTCAACAAATGTTTTTTTCTTTTCACAGTTTTTGTGACATCCCTTGTTATTAAGTCTCGAGGCTCAATTGTTAAAAGTCTTGGTTTTATCTGTGTTTTAGGCTTCGCTGTAGCAGACGCCACAACAACAACGTCATCGTCGTCATCCTCAGAGTTCATCCAGAGGAAGCGACTCTCATCCGCAAACTTTGACGCCGTCAGACTCAAAGAGGCAAAGGTTGAGGTGAACTCCGGCGCCGTTGCTACAGACGACAGCGTGCCGACACCACAACACGCTAACATGAAGGAGCTGTTTGAGATGATGATGCAGTCAGTTACGTCCCTCGCCACAACTTTAGCTTCTTCGCACTCTTCCTCGCAGCCCTCGGATCAGCCGATGCCTCCTGCGCAGTCCTCAGTCCTGCAGCCTGATCCTCTGACTCATCGCAGCCCGACGTCCTGGACCACGTCCAGGCTGAACCAGCTGAAGACGGAGGAGCAGGAGGCTGAGGTGGAGGAGCTGCTAGTCCAAACAGACGATGACGAGGATTGTCAGCCCGTGTCTCCCAGGCCGACCCGGACCAAGAGGAAGAGCACCGACATCCTGCTGGAGGAGTTCCTGAGGAGGATGGAGGCCAGGGAGGCCCAGAGGGACCGCGATGTGGATCAGAGAGACGATGTTACGCTGTTTCTGCTGAGCTTGGCTCCTGCCATGAGGAGACTGACGGCAGAAAAGCAGTCGTGGGTCAGAACCAAGATGCAGCACTTTCTGCATGAGGCTGAGTTTGGTGCTTCGAGTTTTCAGTGATCCAGAAACATTTCATATTTTACATTTTTATAAATTCTGTGTGGATCGCATATTAAGAAGACTTGGACAACATTTATTTCATTCTTGGAGAAGCTCATATATTTACATTTTTATAAACATGTAGCTGAATTTATCCTTTCCTGTGTTTTATGTGCTGTTTTTTTTTAAAATAAAACCCTTTTGTTACAGTAAGTTGAGTTTGTATTTATCAGTAATAATCAAACTGAGTGCTTAACTTTAATCTGAAAACAGCCTGTACGCAGCATCGTTTTGGTTGCAGTTGGTGCAGGGTAAACGAAATAAACTGAAAATCAATTTCAATTGCTTTCTTATTTTATTTTAAAAATCTGCACAACATTTTGACTTCATAATATTTCTTTGCCTTGAAGAAAAGATAAATTTTACAACTTTTTTGTGAACTTGCAAGAAGTAAATACAACCACCGCCACAGAAATAGATACACTGATACTGTTCATTTTCTAAGTTATAACAAAAATCATGTACAGAAGTTTGGCCACCCCCAAACCTGTTAATTAGTTTCGACCTATAAGGCAAGTCTGGAGTTCCTATAAGGAATTAATGAGTTTAGTTTCCCTACATATTTGCATTTACTATATTCTTTTTATGAATATAACACAAAACTAATACATTTATGCGAATAATCTTGAAGCACATTTAAGAAAAACAAAGCTGTATTCACAAACATAGTCCTTCCTTACCTGAGCAGGACAGGTGTTGCCTTCATCACAGAGAAACAGCGCCATCTAGCGCCATCTTGTAAAGACGTACGTCACATCCGGGTTCCGGAGTCAGCTGACCAAAACACGGAAGCGGCTCCAGTTGTGAAGCAGTCAGTGGGCTCAGCAAACAGAGTGAGGAGGAGAGAAGAAACAATATCGTGTTTTATGGACGTATGAGCCGTTTTCTTTTATCTTTTAGCGCCTCGACGTGACGCTGAGCTCTCAAACTGGTCGTCTGTCATCTGTGAGTAAAACGACGAGATACCAACACCTGGCTGTTTGTGTTTGAACCTGCTAGTTTGCTTATTTGGTCATTTTCTGAGTTATATATTAACTTCAGTCACTACAGGGGGTTATGTTTGATTTATACGTTCATATATAAAGCAGCTTATGTGAATGGTACGTTCATACCAAGTCAGTATTTAGCACATTGTAAATCCTAGAAAGAGAAATATTGTAGTGTGAATTGAACTTGAATGACAGGACAGAGTGACATTAGCAGGTATTTTGCACCATTTATTTTTATGAACCTTTTTTTTTTTAATTGTGAAAAGACACACAAAGATCAATTCCAGATCTCATCAAATCAGGTTCACCTCAAAACCCCACCACACCTAGACCTGGACTAGATTAACAGAGAGAGAGTAAAGAATCCTTAAAATGCATTTTCAGGTTTGTGGACTTTTATTCTATTTGTAAAAACAGAAAAATAAAGAAAATGCACCTTCATCTTCAGCAGACTGAGTCTAAGCAATCAGTTCATTTTAAATGGTGAACAGTACAGTTGACAAATCACAAAGGCTGCGCTTTAGGATGTACATTAATCAGCATGTGTGATGATCGGGGGTTAAGCTGTCATGTTCATGGTTGTTCATACAGACTTAATGGTGTTTCATGTGGTGATGGGCCATCCATTCACTTGTTTTCAATCATTTTGAATTATTTAAAAAAACAAACAAACTTGATTTAACCGGAAAACAGACTCCTTGAGATTAGGCATCTCTTTTAGAAGAGAGTCCTGTTCAAGAGAGAAAACAGCACATTTTAACAGGTAACGAACAAAACAGTTAAAATAAGATTTACATAAAGATTAAGAATGAAATACAGTATCTCACAGTTGAAAATAAAAATGTCACAAGTCAGTGATAATCATCATGTAGGGACAGTGTGAGTCCGTCATGACATCTGAATGTGTTTGCTTCTTACTACACAGTGAATATTACACTCAAGCTTAACTTTTAAAAATCCAAATCTGTTAGTCACACTGCAGACTGTGTCCGATGCAGTTCAGATCAAAAAGCAGTACACTCACAGTTGTTGGTTCAGGGCTACATCGACCCAGAAATGCAGAAGATCCCTTAAAACATAGTTTTAGATTTTTAGACCTTGTACTTTAAAATAACATAAAAGGATGATTTCACTGCTTTTGTCACACACAGATGGCATTAACTTGAGTCTAGACCAGAAATCACTGCACTTGCGAAACTTGAAGCTAATTCACAGGGAAACTAACTGTAATGACTCCTTAAAAATACGGTAAGGATGATGTTTCCACTGCTTTATTCCTGCTGAATCTGCACCACATTAACTGAGAAACAACAAAGTCTCTTTAAAAGACATTTTCAGATTTGTGAAACCTTTCCTCTATTTGCTAAGGCACACAAAAAGATCAAAAACATCCACACCCCGTCACCAGAACTACATCAAAGTCAGATTTGTGAAACCTTTACGTTGTCTTTTTCCACCTGCAAACCATATCGGATCAGGTCCAGGCCCAGTTAGAAACAGATTCAGATTCGTTTGTAAAACCAAAAAGGGGTAATTTTACTATTTTTTTTTTTCAAATGTGAACTGCATCAGATCAAATCCAGATCAAAAACTTCAACGCCTAAACCTGTCAAATCATCCAGAAAAGATTTGTGAAAACACAAAGACGAGATTATTTCACTGCTTTTATTCAACAAGATTGTGACAAGATGTCTAATCCTTAATAAATTGGCAGGAAGTGGAAGGACTAAGTCTTTGAAAGCAGCAAATGAGGCTCTACATCAAACAAAAAGCAGCTGTATTGTTTTGATTTAATATCATCCAACGTTTAATTTTAAGGTTTTCTAGCAGCTCTCTGGTGTCGTTCTCAGCCCACACCGAGCAGAAATATAAAGTGGAGCTAGTGATTTATCTGTGTGATATGGTTCCCTGTGACTTTATTACTTTAATGCCTTGAAGAAATAAATTATCCCGACACTCAATTTCAGTGGAAGAAAAGATTTTTTCACCCTGCTTTCTAACACAGTCATTTGTTCTCTTTAGCTGGTGGCCCAGCAGGGCTGCAGTTAGCTGCTGACGATGGTGAAGGTGTTTCGCAGTCCGGCCCGTCACGGCTACGCTGTGGAAGTGTCTCCGTTCATCCCCAACAGAGTGGCCTGCGCTGCCTCCCAGTACTATGGAATAGCTGGTCAGTACAAGGCAGTGATCACAGGTCTGATGTAAAGCGCAGAAGATTCTCTACAGCCAGTATTGTGATGATGCTTCCACACAGACATGGTTGGATTTATGTGAAAGGCCCCTCTTGACTCCCCACAGGGCAGTTTTATTACTCTGAACTCTACTGGACTTTATTCATGTAGAACTTTTCTGAAACAAAAAAACATGCTGAATAAAGAATGCGTGAGGCAGTCATTTTGTTGAATAGTTGATTAAAGTGGTCAACTCTTTGAGCCCCAGATATATTCTAGGTGTTTTCTTTGCTCCTGTCACTTCTATACTCACTGTGGACTCATTTTTCCCTGCAATATAAAGTCCTGGACATCTATGGGAACAACACAACCATGACTAGAAGTACGAAGAACATAAAGAGGTCTTCTGTGCACTATGACAGCGTTGCAATACCATATATGGAAACAAAAAAAGAAAGTTCTGTTTTTAGTGATTTGTTTTACAAATATTACAAAGAAAAACTGGACTCAACATGCAGAAGTGCCCAGACGTGTCACCAGCAGTAGATATTGTACTGAATGTTTTACAGCCTTTACAATCTCTGCCATTTTGACACTACGTTGCACATCAACTCTAGAAAAATATTTCACTGTGCTGAATGTATCTTCCCACAGCTTGCTGACAACTTGCTCTGGAAGCCATTTATGAACCATTCTGCATTTATTTTATTGCTCAAATCACTCAGGTTTTCCTGTTTTTGTCTCTTATCTGCTGTGTGTAAACACAGTCTGCAGTTCAGCTACAAAGTCCTTGATTTATTTTTTTGTTACGTTACTGTCGGTCACTACTGAGTCAGTCACGGCGTCTCAGTTGTGCTGTGAAGCGCAGAATTGAAAAGGTGTGTTTTGGCAACTTTTTAAGTAAGACATATTGAATCAAATCATTTCAATGAAACATCTGAATTTTAGGCGTAGATTTGGTTTACAGAACTTCATGACACATGTAAGTAGCTCAAAGGCTGTGGAAGAGTTAAAATATGATGATTCTTTTGGTTTCTATAGTTGTTTTTGGACTCTGATAAGTGGCGTCATTTTTATGAAGTCGTGTCACTTATAAAGTCGGGGACCAACGTGTACCCTGGTTTGTCTTCGTATAATCATCGTTGTCTGTGAGCATCTTATCAGACAGTATGAGAGGGACACTGAAGCAGCTTTTAGCACAAAAACACTTTTGTCATCTGCATCTGATAAATATATTTGAAGAATAAAATAAAACTCTATTTGACTAAGCGCTCTGTGTGGGTTTTGTAGGTTGCGGCACGCTGTTGGTCGTGGATGAGACAGAGGCCGGGGTCGCTTTAGTGAGAAGGTAAAGTTCTTCAGTTCTTTGTCTCAGTGTCTCTCTCTGACATCCAGGCTTTTACATTGTGTGTATTTCAAAATGTCATTTTATTATTTTATTCTTTCCCTTTTTTCTTTTGGGTGGAAAAGAAGCTTTTAGGCATAAATTTTAATTGCAAATTTTCAACTTATGTCAGAGACTCATAAGAGAATTTTAATAAATCAGTGAAGAACATTTAACAAACAAAACAGATTGTATTGTAGCTAGTCAACGTAAAATACAAGAAACTCATAAAATCAAAAGAAAGACAAAAAAAAAAAGTCTTGGCTTTGGGGCCAGATTTAGCACTGGTGCAGCTATGGTGTCCTTTATGGTGATTTTTAGTTGTAGTTCCTGTATTTGTGAGTGAACGCAGTAACACGGGTGTGTGTTTGTGTCAGCTGGGAGTGGGGTGACGGTCTGTTCGACGTGGCGTGGAGTGAAGCTAATGAACACGTCTTGGTGGCCGGAGGAGGAGACGGCAGCCTGCAGCTGTGGGACACAGCCAATCAGAGCGCTCCGCTGAGGGTGGTCAAAGAACACACACAGGAGGTGAGACAGACACAAACACACACATTAATTAACTGCCTTGCTGTGGACAGTGTGTTTACTGTAACCTGTGTGAAGGTGTACGCTGTGGACTGGAGCCAGACCAGAGGAGAGAACCTCATCGTCTCTGGATCGTGGGATCACACTGCCAAAGTGGTGAGATTTGCTTTGTCTTTTCTTGTATCACTTTCGTTGTCTTTCTCCTCACAGCGTCCTGTTTTTGTGTTGTTTTTTTCCCCTCCAGTGGGACCCAACTCTCAGCCGATCACTGACCACACTCAGAGGTCATGAAGGGGTCGTCTACAGCACCATTTGGTCTCCCCACATCCCAGGATGCTTTGCGTCTGCTTCAGGTGAGCACACATGAGCACCATGCAGTGACCAATGCCATTTAATTTCAGGTTGTATATGTTCACACTAACTTCACTTGTAACCTGATGAGCGCGATCAAAATTCTCAAAATTTGAGTTTTTAATGTTTATTGTGGGTGAAGAAGAATCGACACTCTCAAAATGAGGATCTTGAAGTTAGCGCCTCTTTATTCAGGAGTTCTCAGAATCTCACACAACACAGGATCATGGGAGAGGATGTAAAAGGACCGTCAGCATTTATATTCTTCTACCTTTGGAGGGGCAAGTTCTCTCTGTTCTGGGCAGTTTGTCTTTGTCTGGTCATGGGAGGATTGCTTTACGTTTGTCTTTCACCTTGCATAGGAACACATCACTAATTTCCCTCTCAAACGTCACAGGAGTGTAACTCTGTGTCAGCGTCTTATTTCTCTAAGAACTCTTTCACATTCTGACAGACTGTTAGACACACGGAAGACAGAAAAAGTATTTCCATCGTTTATTTAATAATAATTTGTGTAGATTTCTGTTGGATCAGGGTGACGTACTCTCGTCACAAGGTGGCGGTGTTGCAGTGTTATTGCGTCGTGCGCCAGTTGCAGGTTTTCATTCGTTTCACATCTCAGGTGCTCAGTTTCTATCTCTGGACTTACAGGTACGCATACAAAAGAAACAAGTGTTTGATTTGGTTTTCCAAGGTGGCAGATAAAATATGAAGCTTTCTTTAAAGCATAGATGTTTTACCACGAGTTGTAGGCGCCCATGTGTGCAGTGAGGCAGGTTTAGCTTCCTGTAATTATTCCTGCAGTTTATAGCAGCCATTAAATGATCCTAATGTGTTTTCAGTGTCGGTGATAAGGGACCAAATCTACAGCCCTCATTGTGTGTGAACGTTTAATTGAATCTCTGACTACAGGGAAACTCCTCTTACACATAAATCTAGAAGATATCTACTAGATATGGACTGAGGAGTTTTGTTCCCCAAGAAGAGGAACAATGACAACAAATCAAACCTGTTTCAATGGACACCGGACTGTTGTGACAAGTAGTGAAGCTATCATTTAATCCTAACCTGAATCCTAACCTCTCTTATGAATTGAAATGAAATGAAATGAAAAATACTTTATTTATCCCAGAAGGGAAATTCAATATGATTATTTTAATTATTATAAATTCTCTTATGCTTAAAAAACTATTTTCTTTTTCAAACTGAATACATTTCACCTTCTCATCTGCTGTGTTTTATGTAAGGAAACCAGGCTTAGCATATAAGATCTAGACGACAACATAAACAATCACAATAGTTATACATTTATTCATGTGGCATATTTTGAAAGTAGCCTTGCCTCTTTGCTTTGCCATTTTCAAAGTGGAAGCAGAATACCAAACACAACACCGTGTACATTCACAACATGCATGACTTGAAGAAATGTGTGCATTCAGTAGTATTCCTGCTAACAGATGATATTTGGTCATTTAGTCTGATGTTACTACTGGAAAGTTTCAAATTTAAGGAATTGTTTGATTTTTGTAAATTACGATTTAAATTATTCTAAAGTGACACAAAACAACAAATCAATCAGGTGAGATGTGTTGATTATATTACATGTTTTATTACATCGTAAAAATAAATTCTATTCATTGTTAAACTGGACGAGTTGACTTTAGTTCAAAACATTTAATTAAGAAATTAATCTGTTGAAATCTGTTCTAGTCAAACTGTCAATTGATTGGATGGAATGAGTTCAGCACACAACTATTAAACTCAGTATTTTTAAGTTAATAAAACTTATTTATTTAGTTTCATGTTGTTATTTAAATTTAAACCTAGTTTTCATTTCAGTCATTTTCCCCCAGTTTGCCAGTTAAACCCTAATTTACCAAATGTATGAAAAAACTGATGAAGGGAGACGTCGGTGCAGCTTCCTCAGCATCAGTGGATGAATTGATCCATGATTATCTAATTAATGTAGGAAAAAGTCAAACAAAACGACAGCATATTTAAGTGTAGACAACTTATTGATAATAATTGATCAGATTTATAAAGCGTTTTTCTAGACGCTCAGAGATTCTTTGCACTTTCAGTTATTCATTCACACACATTCATTCTGGTGGTGGTAGTTACGATTGTAGCCACAGCTGCCCTGGGGCAGACTAACAGAGGCGTGGCTGCCATTCTGCCCTCCGACCACCACCTCAAACAATCCATTCATACGCATTCACACCAGATGGCTGAAGTGTCTTGCCGAAGGACACGACCATGACACAGGCTACAGGGCGGAATTGAACCGCTGACTTCCGACTCGCTCTACCATCTGAGCCACAGCCGCCACTGCTAAACAGAAGGCCTTTTCAGAGAAACTGTAATGAGAAGACGCTAGTTGTTTTCTTTGCCATGTAACAAACCCTGAAATGAGCCAATCAGAAGCCGGTAAAGTGCTGCAGCGATGATAAGATTATGAGATCCAGAATACAAAAACGCATTTCTGATCGAGTCCAAGATGTTTGTGAAAACAGTGATGCCATCAGTTGTTTTACAGATATACTGTAATCAGTACTATTAATATTAACTGTTTTGGTAGAAATAAACTCCAGGTTAACACTGGGTTGGTGAAGCGCATTGTGTTTAGTTATGAGTAAATACGTTGTGCAGCGGCCTCCTGGAGTCCTAACCAGAGATAAATCAGGCGCTCCTCATGGTGACGTTTCTCCAAATACTCAACTATCGGAGACGATTTGACTAAAGGCGATACAGCAGCACCTTGGTAATAAAGATCATATTGGAGAAGTGCAAGTGTTCTCGGCAGTGGGCCCGCTCTGCTCTCGCTCTATCAAGGAAGAGTTTTAGAAATCAGCCTCATTCACAAGACTATTAAGTCAGTGAGTTTGCGCCCAGAGGGAGAGCTCGGATTATCTTATCCGTTTGTGCGGGAGCGTATTTTCACTTTATCAGAGGGGTGGAGCCGCGCTGGTGATGGATGCGCGTTTCGTCAGAGCCGCTGATCAGATTGTGGAGCAGCTGGAATCAAATCTGCAGCAGCTGCTTTCAGGTTCAGGATCAGTTTGTGAAGCGAACTCAAACAAGTTGGCTAATGAGTTTGGCTTAATTGGTTTGTGAGAGTTAGCGGAAATCTCTGATGAGATTTTAGAACGGGAAGACGTTAAGCTCCTGTTGCTCACACACCGTATTTTTGGTTCAACAATGTGACCTTTAAGCTTCAAGCTCTTCATATTCAAACGAAAATAGAAAATTTGATATATGAAAAATACTTAAGTGAGATGAACCCTTACTGCATCTGACTGCTGAATAGTGTGTTTGTGTTATTTACGTTTTATTTTCTAGCCATTAAAACTGCCAGATGAGCTGTTAGTGGTTCCTGTTTGTGCTGTAGCGATGCATTTAGAGACAACTGGAGACAACTGCAGCTATATCTTCTGTCTGTCTTTTCTAAGTCTATTTACGAGCATTTGTTAATAATGATGACCACAATGAATCGACCTGAAAACATTCAAACATCACGTCAGTGTGTTCAGATTTCAAAAATAGGTTACAACTCCACTTATGTCGTATATCTCACTATTGATTTCTTTATTTCCTCTGATAGCCGAGTGTCTTTTTTGTTGGAGTGGGGATGTTAATGATTATCAGATTAAAAATATATTGTTATATATGTTGGTTCTGTAGCAACCCGAGGAGGCCGTCATTAGAACTACGAGGTTCTGTTGTGGTTAAAGATTTGTAGCTAGCGCTCACATTTACATGTCAAGCCTTAGTCTAGAAGGACTGCGTTTCCGACACTGATTGGCTGATATAACTACGTCATGTGTGTAATTTTAAAATCAACAGTACCTGGAGAAATGTCTGCTTTGCTTCATTCATATTAGTAATTATTGATTGATAACATTGTTGACTATTGGTTAAGAAAATTGCCTTGAACTCGCATCTCAAGTCTGGAACGTCAGAAACTTTATTTGAATGCTTCTTAGGTTTTTTCTCCATAAGCTCTAGTGTACTCCTCAATACTAGAAATACAGTTCAGAAATCATGTCACAGTTCTTTATCATCTTCTGTGAACTTAAACTCAAGACTCCTGGTTGTAGGAAAAGGAGAAGTTAAACCAAAACTGTAAATAAAAATAAGTATGAAAACCTGAGTGCAGATCAAAACACTGCGTAAAACTCAGCAAAGTTACAGGTATGAGTTTTGGCCGTGCTCTGGTTGCTGAAAACACTGAGAAAATGCAGAAATTAAAGGTGTGTGTGTTCCTCAGTTTAACTTCAGTGTCACGCACAGGTTGAAACACAAAAGATTTTTTTCTCATTAATCTTCAAATGGTCTAATTTCACAAGGTTTTTTTCTTTTTGCCTGATTAAAATGTGACCACTGTGTCCTTAGTAATCTCCTTGTGCAGCGACACACTGCTCCCAGTGCTCCCGCCATGTTTGGAATGCGTTCTGGTAATTCTGTTCGGCAAGAACATCAAGTCACTGCGACGCGTGCTGGATCTAATCCACTGTGTCACAACGGCAGCCCTTCAACTTTTCATTTCAAATTTCTTTCTGGGGAAAATTAAAAAGTCACCGGGAGTCACATCTGATTAGTAGGGAACTTGGAGACTGAAGTAGTGAATTATGTTAATGTGGCCGCCTCATAGATGTCCAACCAACAGTCTGAAACTGAGAAAAATACAAAATTAGAAATAAGATATTCAGTTTAGAAGTAATTTAATTTAATTCTGAGGGATGCAGCAAATACTCACATTTGAGAAAACAGAAGCAGAGAATGTTTGGAAGTTTTAGCTTTATCAGTCGTAGATTTTTTTGTCACTAAAATGTAATGATTTTTAATACAGGCTTCGTGTGTCATGACATATAAAGAAAGATTTGTTTGAAATAAGAATAACTTACCTGCAGAAACAAGAGTTGGAGTATGACTTGTGGAGTTTCAGATCAGTGATACAGAGTTCATTAGATCTGTTTGCAAACTGAGTCCAGATCAGATAACT